GTTCACTGGATAACAGGAAAGAATGAAACACAACAGTAGCGCTAGCAAAACCATGGCGTCCTGTTGACCTGAGTGGGGAGAGTGGGACATTGCTGCTCTCTCTCCCCCCATTGCGAGCTTAAAGCAAGCTGTTCTTGAACTCCCAGAAAAGCCAGAGACCGACCTGGCCAGAAAGACCCTTTGTCTGCCTGCTCGGCTTTGTCCCAACATCCAATTTAAAGGCTTTTCTTTACCACGCGGTAATGGGACGAGCAGCCATCACAGAGTTCTGAAAGGGGAGAGGCCGCCCCAAGTCACGTCATCATACGTGTCTAGAAACAGGTTCCTCAAGCATCCACATGATTAACAGGAGGCAGAACTCCCTGTACATTCTCTCAGGACTCCCCAGTCCCTCCCTGCTCCCTTCCATGTTACGCTTGTTAAGCATAACTGCTTAAAAATGCTTGTTGAATTGAATTATAGACCGAGCTGCATGTAGCACCTTTGACCCAATACATCCTTCATATACAGGGAATCCTGAAACAGCTAGCGTGCCAGTATAGACTCCCGTGCAAATCTCTAAGCCTTAGCTCATGAATCTCACATGAGCAGATCTAATTCAGGCATGGAGAACTGGAAAAGCAGAGAGGTTGAGTCATTCGTCCCATGCAAGTGGCCCCATGAGCCAGGAGCTGCTTCCAATCCTTCACCATTCTTCTCCAGGCCCATGGCGGGCCCCAGGCAGTATATTATACCTAATGACTGTTCCCAGAGGCAAAGAAATATTTGTTTTATTTTTATTAATTTATTTATTTTTAGTTTCCAACATTCACTTCTACAAGATTTTGAGTTCCAATTTTTCTCCCCATCTCTCCCTTCCCCTCACCCCTACATGGTGTGCATTCCTCCAATCTGCAGTCCCTTCTATCACTCCCCCCCTTCTCTTATTCCCTTCCCCTTCTATTTTCCTATAGGGCAGGATGGAGAAATATTTGTTTTAAAAAAGAAAGTATTAAAAACAATGGAGAGAAACAAACAAAAACCTGGTAGCATACAGTAAAAATGACTAAAGCAATCCGACGCGATATAAAGCTGGGGAGGGACCGCCATGGCTGGGGAGATCAATGGAGACAGTGCCGCATGCTGTAAATAGCTCAGAGATGTGATTATAGGCTGACAGTGTGGGACTCAGGATTGCATTTCAGCAGTTAATTATGGAAGGTTACATTTATGGGTTGCAGCAAATCTGTTTCTGCTAAAACCTGAACAAAGCCACGATGCAGCTATGGCTGAGCAGGAAATCCTCCACAAATTGATCTGGAGTGGTCCCCTTGAAAGAGGTTGGGTTTGGAGTCTAGGCCCCAGAAGGGTGTAGTGATAAGTGGAGGAACGGTTGCATCTAAGCCCGGCTCCACAAATCACTGCCATAGTTAAATCTGACCATGCCTCTTGGCTGTCTCTTTGCAATTTGCTGGGAGGGGTCTGAGACAAAGGATTGGAAAGAGACCTGCAAGAGACCTAAGAACATTTAAAAATGCTTATTTTTTTTTTTTTAGGCAATTAGGGTTAAGTGACTTGCCCAGGGTCACACAACTAGTGTCAAGTATTTGGTCTGAGGTGGGATTTGAACTCAGGTCCTTCTGGCTTCAGGGCCGATGCTCTATCCACCGTGCCACCTAGTTGCCCCGAAAATGCTTATTTTTAATGCCATCAAATGACTTACGAATTAGGAAATAACTCTTACAGAAAATGCTTAGCATTTAAAAAGGCTTATTAACCCATCAAATTAACAGGTAACTCATAGGAGCAACTAAGGTGACAACTGTCTAGAATACAAGGAGCAGCGAGATGAACTACAGCACTCTTTCGTACGTTTGGGGCTTGGTACAATGGAAAGAGAGCAGTTAGGGGGCGCCGTAGTGCATAGAGCGCCAGGCCTGGAGTCAGGAAAACCCATCTTCTTGAGTTCAAATCTAGCCTCAGCCACTAAGTAGCTTAGCTGTGTGACCCTGGGCAAATCATTTAACTGTTTGCCTCAGTTTCCTCATCTGTAAAACGAGTTGGAGAAGGAAATGGCAAACCACTCCAGTATGTTTGCCAAGAAAAGCCCAAATGGGGTCATGAAGAATCAGACATGACTGAGCAACATCACAATGGAAAGAGCAGTGGTTCTGGAGCCATAAGAGCTGGGTTCAAATCCCACCTCTGATGCTTCTTAGCTGTGTGACCTTGGGGAAATCACTGAACCTCTCTGAGAGGCTTCATTTTCCTCATCTGTAAAATGATAGGGTTGGACTCTGGGGTTTCTGAGGTGCCTTCCACCTCCACATCTATGAAACTGGGACGATGGGTTGGACCCAGACTCGAAAAGGAAGAAGAGAGAGACCAGAATGTCTTTAGGAAGTTGTAAAATTCTTAAATGGCCCCAAATACCTCTCAGTAATCAAGGCCTATCTTCTAATTACCAACATTCTATTTTAAATACCAACATTCTCACAATAATTGTTATTTAAATAACATCATGCCTGTTGAATGGCTCTGAAGATTGGATGGATAACATGATATCACCTAGAGCAGAGTCGGCCAGTCTACAAAAACACTGGACCCAATTCAAAAGGAATTGGGAAATGTTTAACAAAATAAATAAAAATACACTATGACAGAGATAATGTTAATTTGTGGTTTTCTTAGTCAATCTGCTGCCAGCAAGGATCTGTCTTTATTTGAGTTAGAGGATGACATAGAAGTACATGGTAGGGGTGAACAGGCTGCAACTTATTACACATGAGAAACTGTAAAGGAGATTTGGAGCAAAGGATGTCAAAGAACGGTACCCTTGGGGTGTCAAGAGACATGCAGGAAGGTCCCCTGCCCTTCATGGTGAACTTAGCCTATATAAGGACTCTGGAGATCCTTATCCGCACTCATATTCACACTGGTGAGTCAAGTGCCTCAGGGTAAGGCTGCAGAGAAACCCTGGGTTTTAGGAGTATCTCTGAGGAGTTGGGGTGATTCTTCCTAATATTAGTCTCAGCTCCCTTTCTGGTATGTTCGTCTCAATATAAACAGCTAGTGATTAGCACTCCTATTTTCTCTAACCAATTAACATCAATTAGCTTTTACAAAGGAATATTTACTGAGAAAACAAAGGAGTCCCAAATTCCACACATACACCCCCAAACACCTAGGAGTACAATCCTCCCATACCAATCAGTCCCTAGGGATCAAACTTAAAGCAGTTTCTATAAAACATTTGGTTCACCAAATTCACTTCCGCATGCGGCATAGCTGATGGACAAATCTCTCACTTTTGTAGGACCTAGAGTATTGACCACAAGGCTGGGTCCCAATGACTCCTTGGGGCTCTGCTGGTGGACAGCACACTCTGGTCAGGACTCTCTACCCAGACTTTGATTGGCTCCCTTCCCTGATCTCTCAAAGTTCACAAGGTCCCAGCCCAGTCTCATGCTCCTTCACATAAAATTAGGAAAGGATGGATGACACAGAGAAAGAAGCAATTATCAAGGCCGTATGCTCATGAGCCTGGCCAGGGAGATAAGGCCTGTAACCTAGCACAGTTCTCTCTCACCGAGAGCAAAACCAAAGAGACGCAACAGAGCAGAGGGGCAGCTCAGCCAGCTGACAACCACCACCTCGACCCCTGTGCCAGCAACAGCAGAGGCATGTGGCTTCATGCTGACTCTGGGTAGGAGGGGGCCCAAAGCCCTTGCTTGAGCACACAGCTAGGCTGAAAAGCACCAAGGGGAAGAGCCTGGAAGTAGCCGTTTCGAACCAGGAATTCCACCTCTCCAACCTTCAGGAGAATGAGAGAAAGTGAAGCCAGTGCTGGAGGGGTGAGGATGGGGGTTCTATGTCACCAGGTGGAGCCAGGTCTCAGGGAGAGCCATAAGGTGGAAGGAGTGGGAGAGGAGAAGATTTCAGATGCAAGCAAATGTATTGCCCCCAGAGGGCACCATGGAAGGGGTCGGTGGCAGTGGATCATTGGGGTGGCATACTGGCTTGAGGAAAACAAAGGCAGGGCAGTGGGAGGCGGAGAATGAGCTTTCCCCTGACAGTCTGGAGCTCAGACTCCTTGGGATGGGGAGAGGGGTTTGTCAATCACTTCTCCCCTGCCCCCCACCCCCCATTCCGCCCAGGCTTGTTACATCTTGACTCCTTCTCCCCGGCCTTCCATACAACAGCGTCGCTGGTCTGGTCTGCTGGCTGTCCTCCCGTGCCACCCTCCATTTCCAGACTCCGGGCATTTCCCCTGGCTATGTCCCATGCCTAGAAGCGCCCCCCCCTTCCTGGCAGCCAAAATCCCCCCTTTCTCAGGTGGGATCCCCCTTAATTCTAGTGCTTTCCCTCTGCTGACTATTTCGGATCTACCCTGTGTAAAGCTTGCACACTTTCTCCCTCATTAGGCTCCTCGAGGGCAGGGTCTTCCCCGTTCCTGGTTTCCCTAGCATGTCACCCTGCACCTGGCATACAGCGGTGCTTAATCAATGTTTATTGACTGACAGGGTTTCAGCTTCTTGATATAAAAAGTGCGAGGTCTCGGGCCTTTTGGGGCTTAATCAAGGCCCTGGCAGGTCCTGGAGGAGCGGGTCCCGCGGGGTCAGGTGCCCGTGTCCAGCTCAGGCAACCAGAGGCAGGCATAACCCCCCCTCCCCCCCCTTCTCCGCAGCGCTAGGCTCCGCCCCTCGGCCTGCAGGGGGCGGGCTCGGCCCTGATTGACAGCCACACCCCCTCGCACGCCCCTCCTGCCGCCCTCCGTAAACAAACCGAAGAGAGGCTGCCGAGTCAGGGGCACGGGAAGGGCGGGGCGGGGCGCCTGCGGGCGACGGTCGACGAGCAGGGGGCGGAGCGCCTCTGGCCCCGCCCCCGGCCCTAGAGCGCGCTCTCTCATTGGTTCGCGGGTGGAGGCGTGCGGGGCGCGGCGGAGCGATTGGACGGCGCGGCTGCCGGTCGGCGGCGGTGACGGCAGGAGGCGCTCGTTCGGCCGCTCGCTCGCTCGCAGCATGGCAGCCGCGTTGGTGCTCCGGGGGGCGGCCGGCAGCCTGCTGGGCCGGGGCCGGCGTCGAGGTGCGGGCCAGGCCGGCCTCGCGGCGGGTAAGGGCCGGAGGGCCTCGCGGCGGCGCCGGGGCCAGGCCGCTGGGCGGGGGCTGCCCGGGCCGGGCCCAGCTGACTCTGGGGGGAGGGTCGGCGCCTCTGCGGGGGCCGCTGTCACGCGCCCCTTCCTGCCCCGGGTGGGGACGCTGAGCCGGGATTCGAACTCAGGACTGTGTTCCTGTCGCTGCCGCGCCCGTGAGGCACGGGGGCCTTGAATGTCGGCACTCCAGACCGAGAGCTGGGAGCCCGCTCCCGAGTCAGTGATGCGGTCTGGTCTACAGAAGGGGAAACTGAGGCCCAGGGAGGGGAAGAACCCTACTTCATGCGGGAGGGGACTCGGGACTCTGCTGGGGAGGAAGCTGAGGCCCAGGCACAGCGCATTCCAAGTCTAGGGACGTGACAGCCGGGACCTGGAGAGCCCGGGGCGGGTATGGATCAGCATGCATTAAGCGCCTGCTGTGTGCCAGGCTGTAGACCGAGTGTCCAGGAGAGCAGCGGATAGTGCAGACCATGTAGGGTAGGATGGCGTGGCCGGTGACCTGGGGGACTGCACCCGTGGGGTGGACCCATCTGCCCCTCCCCCTCCCCTCCCTCCTCCTCCTCCCCCTCTCTCCTCCTCCTCTATTTCCAAAAACTGTGGCCTCCAACTGTTGTCCATTTAAAACCCAACACACAAACACTTCTCTGGACCAGTCAGTGAAAGTTGACAATGGACTTTGCTTCTTCCCCTTATTTCATGTAATTAGTTAACTTGGTGGCCCTCTTAGAAAATAAAAGTCTGCCAGTTAATGTTGTCTTAAACCAGAGGCCCTGGAGATACAAGTACAAAGAATGAATGGAGGATAAGAGTCTTCTGTTTATAACATACCTATCTTTTTACATACATTCTTATATTTTGGGCTCTTTGGCTCAACAGTAAGTACTATTATGATGATGTACTGTTATCATTTTAAGTACAACTTTGCTTTGGGGGGATTTATGGAAATGATTTTTTTTGAAATCAGTAACAATTGATTTTTTTTTTACATTATCATTTCTATGTGATGTGACATTTTACTGTCCTACTTTGAGTTTAGTAGAAAAAATAGATTTAAATTAGATATAATTGCTAAAAGTAAACACATGTACCCATAATTTGTTTAGAGGCTTGGGGATTTTAAGAAAACGGATGACATGTTGAAGAGCCATTATTTCAATGTTTAATATTACTTAATTGTGTAGTGTTGTCCAGTGTTCTGTAAAGGAAATTTACTATCATAGAATATTATGTGTATATCGTCAGTAATGTAATAAAATTTGATTGTTAAAAATCTGTCCACTTCAAGTTTTAGGTTATGATAAGCACAGAATAGTATGAAGATATTTAAAATAGCAGTGGTCATTTGAAAAAATGACCAGCATAAAATAATGTGTCTTGTTAAGCATTATGGAAGTTTTTCTTAAAGGTGAGTTTTATGCCTTGCCCAAAAATTGAGTTAAGTGGTTTCTTGTTAGCCATGGCAGAGGGAATTCCAAAGATGGACGTTTTTTCTCAGAAAATGACTTGCTATTGGTCCGCCAGCATAGACGTAGGAAAAATCATTAGCATTAAATGGTGACTTACCTAAGATTGGAACCCAGAATTGCTACGAGATTTTACAAAGGATATACACTTGCTTTTTGAGAACTTTTAATACTTAATTCCTCACTCGAGAAAATATTCACTTCAGTCTTCCATTTGTTAATTTGTGGTCAAAATTTGTTTTAAAGAGATATTACTTTTAATTACATCATCACAGTTTGTGATGACCCTCTACTAATCCATCAGTCAACAAGCATTTGTTAAATGCCTACTATGTGCCAGGCACTGTGTTAGGTGCTGGGGATACAAAAACAAACAAAAAAGAAAAGAAGAGAAAAGATTTATAAATAAGTGTATACAGAATAAATCTCTGGAGAATAAATACAAGGTGGTTAGAGAGGGAGAGGATGTTGGAGGTTGGGGGCGTTTGGTTTCAGGTACAGGGAATTCTAGGAGTTGGAGATGAGAAGGCTGTAGATTCTGGGCAGAGCCTGTTGGTGGGAGCGCTGTGTGTGTGAGGACAGAGAGGAGGTGAGTTTAGCCACATGCAGGACTGGGAATGGGAGTGATCTGGGTTGAAGTTGGAGAGGGAGGTTGGGGCCAGATTGTGAGATGCCAAGCGAATGGAGAGCCTGTGGAGCTATGGGGAGTTATTGTAGGGGATGGCCTGGTCAGACCTTGGTGGCCGTGTTCAGAAGGGCTTGGCATTGGGGGAGACCAGTTGGGAGACAATTGTAGTCTCTAGATCGGAGGTGATGAGGCCTGTGCTGGGGGTGGGAGCCATGAGAAGGGAGGGGTGTTGGGGATGTGGAAACAGCAAGATACAGATATGTGGGGTGAGGGAAAGGGAAGAGCCTGGATGACAGTGAGGTTGGAGGCTTGGAAAGATGGTGGAGCGGTCAGGAGGTTTGGCGTAAAGCGAATGCATTCTGTTTTGAACATGCTGAGTTGGAGGTGTCCCACAGGCATTTGGTGATGCAGAATTCTGGCTCAGGAGAGAGATGAGATGGCCAGGCAAAGCTGGGGAGCTGAGGAGGCCAGTGGGCAACAGAGTGGAGAAGGTCGGGGAACATCCTTGTCGGGGCTCCTGATTACTTGTAGCGTAAAGCCCTGACTCCTTGCTTTGCATTCTGGGCCTTCCTTGTTTTTGTGGCAGCCTCTGCTGCCCCCCTGTAGGTGTGCTGTGATCCCTGAAGCTGGCCTGCTGCTTCTTCTGCCCCTGGGCTTTCCTGGGTGGCCACGTCTTCAGCCTTGTCCATCGTGTGCTTTCTGCCTGGAATCCTTCCTGCTCCCTCCTGTGAGGGGGGCCAGCAGAGGCTGTTTCAGCTTTGGCTTGGGATCCTCAGCACCTGCCAGTGCCTGGCACAGAGGCTGGCCCAGCTCTGGTGCCACCTCCTTGGGGTGACCCTCCCTCAGATCCTCTCTTCCTCCTTTGCCTTTCCATGGTATCTCTCCGCATTCACTTATTCAGCACGCTTGTGTATGTGCAGGCACCTTTAGCTAGTTATTGGCATGTTTGTCTTTGCTTCTGCTCCCCTCACAGGGTGGTTGGGAGACAAGCGCTTTGTAAAACTTAGTGCCCTGTATGAATTGAATTATGAATTATTACTTAGTGCCCTGTGTGATTGTGAATGATGACTGTTATTATCACTAGGTTGTGAACCTCTTGAGGGCAGGGACTGTTTGATTGATCTTTTATCCCCCATTCTGCCTAGCTTTGTACTTATTACTTGCTCAATAATTGTTTTTGAATGAATAAATTGGGAAGAAGCGTATAGCCCTATCATGCCCTTAAGAATATTAAAAAAAAAAAAAACCCTCTAAATTAGGGTCCGCTCAGCTTAGTCATTCTAGATTCTAAACTTTCTCTTTCCTGTGCTTAATTTGCCATAATCAATCTGGCCCAATGCCATGTATCTGATTGTTATAATTAAGTCAGTAGCATTAGTGTCAAGGAAGTTTGGATTAACAGACTGTGCTTCTCATTAAGTGACTTATAAAAAGAAAATAATGTGGAATTAAGCAGCGTAGAAAGCATAACGTGTCCCTTAGCATCTTGTGTCCCTTTTTATCTTCTGAAGATGCCTGTGGTTATTATTGGACTGAAATATTGAAGCCAAAGGCCCTGTAGGACACTTGATGACTTTACATTGGCTCTGAAGGCCCACTGGCCCAGATGGACACACCTCACTGCCTCCTGGGGAGTCGGGCTTCAGGCAGGAACTCTGGAATGACGAAAGCTTACTGCCCTAAGGAGGTCTCTTGGTGGAATGCTTCAGAGCAGATGCCCTCATGGTAGAGATACTGGCAGGGTTTGCCATTTCCTTCTCCAGCTTATTTTACAGATGAGGAAACTGAGGCAAACAGGGTGAAGTGACTTGCCCAGGGTTACACAGCTAGGAAGTGTCTGAGGCCAGATTTGAACTGAGGTCTTCCTGACTCCAGAAGGCATGTCTTTAGGAAACGTCATTTAATGTTGAAGGTGGAGTTGAATGAATGAGTGAATGGAAAAGCATTTTTCCAACATATTTTTATTTATTTCGTTAAATATTTCCCAATTATATGTAAAAAACTTTTAACACTCATTCAAAGAACTTGAAACAGCACTTATTAAGTGCTTCCTGTGTGCTGAGCACTGGGGATGAAGATCCTGCAACACAGCAGCCGCTGCCCTCACCGAGCTGGCATCCCAGTCCCCGGGGGTGGCCAAGGGGGGCACCTGCCACATGGTGAGTGGGACCCCGTCTTCCCGGAGTTGATTGGGTCCAGTTTCCAGACCTGGAAAGGGATCTGAGGGGACAGGGTACCCCAAATAAGGCAGCTTGGGGTGGCTTAGCATGACCGTCGTGTTCTTGTACTTCTGAATGAATGTGTTGTATACGTGCAGACGATGGAACACTCCTTCACCAGCCTACTAAAAAGAAAGTCGAGCTTTGTGCAAAGGGAGTTCTTGACACATCTTTTGTGCATTAAATCCTGCAAAGCTTTCTCCTTTAGTAATGTCCATTCCGTAGACCAGCTTTACAGGGGAAGGTTTTTGTTTTGATTTTTAAAATCGGTCCTCAGACTTTTTTTTTTACTGATGTGGAGGACTCATTGGCATGCAGACTTGACAGGAGCACGTTATGAGTACTTCCCTGGCCCCAAACCTTGCAAGTTCTCCAGGATTTCTTTTAGGGGCTGAGCCATATTTTCTGAGAGAACCTGTAGTTAATCCTCTACCTTTTCTGAATGAAGAGGCTGAGACTCAGAGTGGAGAAGTGGCTTGCCTGAGGTCACGAACCTAGTGAGGAGCAGGGCCAGAGCTGAAATCAGAATCTCTTGACTTTCGGGTAACCATAGGCCTAAATAGGTTTAAAGGTAAGGCAGACATTTTTATTTGGTTAGGTAATTTATGTATAAATAGAAAAAAAACACATATTAGATTTTTTGTTTTGGTCCTGTGATTTCATTGGTTTGAGGAACTCCCCAAAAAGAAACTCCCTTATCAAAAGCAGATCAGTAAGTATTCCGCTCCTTTGGGCCTCAACACTAACGATTTAAGTGACTTGTCCAAGATCCCACAGCCTTTACGCACATAATGGGCTTGAACCTAGTTCTTCTTGAGTCCTGGGTGGCTCTGTATCCACTAAACTGTGGTACTTCTTGGAAAATAAACATTGTAAAAGGGTCTAGGGACTCCTGAAAGTTAGCTTTGGCGGCCTCGTGGACAAAGGTCTAGTCTTGGAGTCAGAGATGTTGTTTGGTTGTTTCAGTCCCGTCTGACTCTTTGTAACCCCATTTGGGGGTTTTCATGGTAGAGATACTGGCAGGGTTTGCCATTTCCTTCTCCAGCTTATTTTACAGATGAGGAAACTGAGGCAAACAGGGTGAAGTGACTTGCCCAGGGTTACACAGCTAGGAAGTGTCTGAGGCCAGATTTGAACTGAGGTCTTCCTGACTCCAGGCCTAGCACCATGGTGCCACTTAGCTGCCCAGAGTCAGAAATTCGCGGATCCAGTGTGACTTTGGGCAGTGCCCAGGCCTCTCTTGGAAGTTCAGATGATTTGCTCTGATGAAGGAAAGGTGATTTCTGCCCTTGAGCTCCTGACACTGATTCAATCATGGCCTAGGGAATATGGTGGGAAAAGAGACAAGGATTTGTATTGCAAAGATTTTCTTTCTGTGGAGTCTCTTTAACTATTAAGCTTTCCTAGTGACTTAAGATATTCTTAGTTAATAAAAAAAAAGATTTTCACATAGTTTGAAAAGCTGAGATAGTGAGATATATCTGTGGTAAATGGCACTAAAAGTAGGGCATCGAGGAACTAGTGATAAGATTCTGATATTACTGTCTTATAATTTTAGTCCAAATGAATGAGAATGAGCATTTTTAGAAACTAGTTAACTTTTATTACCAGAAATCCAAGTGTTAGTCTACTTTGTACTGAACAGAAATCAGAATGCTGTCCTGCCGTGTTAGAGATGAGGCTTGCTTCTGTTAGTTGGGGAAGAAATTCATTGTTCAGGCCTTCGTTTGGGCAGGAGGACGCCGACTTCGTAACAAATGGAGCTTTTTAGAAGCATTGCTAAATTTGTTTCTAAAAATGGGAGAGAGAAGGAATGGAAGTGGAAAACAAGATGGAATAGTTAATTTTCTCCTAGATGAGACACTGGTTAATGATAATGAATTAGAAATTACATTGCTTATTCCTCTATTGGTATTTCTAAATTTAAACACTTTAACAAAAAATTGAAATTTGAAAGTCATTTGAAGTTTTTAAAAAAATCATTTTTTCATCCTGATTGAAAATATTGTATTGAAATCAGTGTGTTCTAGGTCAATGGCTTCCAAGACTCCTGTTGGATTCATTGGACTGGGCAACATGGGAAATCCAATGGCCAAGAACCTCATCAAACATGGATACCCTCTCATTCTTTATGACATATTCCCAGAAGCATGCAAAGATTTCAAAGATGGGGAACAGGTAAAGACACTGTGTGTGTGTGTGTGTGTGTGTGTGTGTGTGTGTGTGTGTGTGTGTGTTGGGTAACTATAGGGTTTCCAAATGTTTATGTTTTAAAATGAATGTGTGTTTGAATGGGCAGTGGCATCTTGATGGGACGTATGTCTAATAGAATTTCAAATCTGATATAGTAAAACTGTTTTACCCTTCATTATATAATAGGTCCTCTGGCTCCATATCTCAGACTAGTATAAGAGAGGAAATTTCTGTAATGAAGTAGAAATTGGGGGGGAGGGTCTGTGCTGCTCCAAGTGATTTGGTCGTCTTCTTCCCCAGATTTGGCCAAGTGGCCTTTGTTGTTATATTAGATTTCTTTCTCTTAGGCTTTAATTGGGGATCTGGCAGGGGGAATGTGGCCAGCCCTGGAGTCAGGAAGATCTGAGTTCAGATCTGGCTTCAGACACTTCCTAGCTGTGTGACCCTGAGCAAGTCACTTCACCCTGTTTGCCTCAGTTTCCTCATCTGTCAAATGAGCCAGGGAAGGAAATGGCAAACCCCTCCAGTATCTTTGCCAAGAAAACCCCAGAGGGGCTCATAAAGAGTCAGACATGACTGAAAACAGCTGAACAACAAAAGTATATACAGTGGGCTCTGGGGGTGCAAAAGCAATCCGAAAACAGCTCCTGCTGTCAAGTGGTAGAATACACCAACAACCACAACAGTAGCAGTAACTAATAGCCAGAATTCCTGTAGCACTTGAAGGTTTGCCTAGTGCTTTTATATATACCACATTTGAGCTTCATGACCACCCTGTGTGGTCGTATCCCCATTTTACAGATGAGGAAACTGAGGAAGACAGGATAAGTCACTGGCTCAGAGTGACATAGCTAGTAAGTGTCATAGAATTTGAACTCGGGTCTTCCTAACCCTTCAGCTCACACTTATATAATAAGTACATACAGTATATTTTGACAGAGGAGAGGCCTTGTAAAGGGGGCTTGAACTAGGTTTGTGGTAACATGAAGGCAAAGAAGGGAATGAATTCACAAGAATTTTATGGAGCTAGAATTGATCAGAATTGTCAGTTGATTACATGTGGGGGGGGGAAGGGGAGGAAGGGCAGGATGACAGAGGCAACCACAGAAAGCTGTCTGCTGGACTGAGAAGAGTCCACACTGGGAGACCAGAGACCTTTGCGCTGTGTGCTAGTCCCTTAATGAGTCCTTTAAGCCCTTAGAGTCTCAGTTTCCTCATCTGTAAAGTGGGGATAATGCCACCTGGAGTGCTCTTCCACAGGCTTCTTAAAAAAGATCAGAGGAGAATCTATTTAAAGCAACTTATAACTGTCAGTTCTTACTATGGTGGGAGAAGGAGGCAGTTAAGGGGTGACAAGAGTGAATTTGGCTTAGATTATTTCTCATTTGAGGAGCCATAATCCAGATGAAGGTGCTCAGCAGACATTTGGAAATGTGAGAAAAATTCAGTGCAGACAATAAAATTGAATATACAGATTTGGGCATCGTTTATGTAGAACTGATAACTGAAGCCACAGGAACAAATGGGCACACCAGTGAGGAGGGTGTGGAGAGTGTAGATAACAGAGCCCGACTCAAGACCTTGGGGGCCAAGAGAGGGAGTGGTCAGGAAGGTCAGAGCAGGTTCGTAGGGTTTAGGATGGGAAGGACTGTTGAGTCCATCTGTTCAAACTTCTCATTTTCTAAGTCAATAAAAGGAGGTCTGTTAGGTTAAGTGACTTCTCCAGGATCACATAGGAAAGTAAATGACAGGCAGAATTTGCACCCAGGTCCTGTGATCCCAAATGCAGTGTTCCATGTGTCTGCAAGAGAAAACAGAGTCAGGAAGACCAGGGGAACAGAGAGGGTCCAGTAGGAGAGGGTAGACAGTTGTGTTGAGGGCTGTGGAAATATCCCCCCTCCAGTCCCCTCTGAAATGGACTAAATATTTACAGACAGGAAATAACTAGTTCTCAGTATCGGGGTTGTGTCAGCGCTATTCTGTGGGGGGGTCAGGTCACCCACTGCTCCAAATCCCATGAGAGGTGGAAGAGGAGAAGGCGACATTGTTCCCTCAGAACAGCCGCCAGCTGAGGTGAGTCCACAAGCTGTTGAAACAGATAAAAGGAGAGACATTTTCTCTCATCGATGCCATTGCTTAGAGGCGGCGAGCCGATGTAAAGTGGTCAGCAAATCACCATAGGCAGCAGATGTTTCGTTGCCTGACAGCCGCTGTGGAGGAGACTGCCAGGAGTTGATGGGCAGCAGTGTGAAAAGTGATGGCTAGACGAACCTCGCAGCGGGCCTGGCCTGGGGCCCCTTGCAGCCAGAGAAGCAGGCGTGTGCGCTGGCATCACACTGGTTTCCAGTTTTCTATGATTTCTGCTGTCATTTCTGTGCCCCACCCCTCAGTACCAGCATACCACTCATAAGTTAGTGGAAATGGCATTTTTAAGATGAAGTCAGGAGAGAGACTGGGTCTGACCAAATGTACAAAGAAATCCATATCAGAGAAGGAGCTGAGAGGGTAGAGTGGGGAGTGTCGTCAGAAATGGGCGAGATCCTTAGGGTTCAAGGCAGTTGTAGAATGGGGGCTGAAGGCACGAGGGAGAAGCTGAGAGTCTGGAAAGTCACATGACGTCGTCAGAAAGGGATCTGCCAGGTGGGGATGCAGCTCAATTCAGTTCAACAAATAGGAATTACTTGCTGTGTTTAGCGCATGTGCTGGGGGCACTGTAGGTTTAGGACTCCTCCGGTCTTCCAGGGTTTAACGTGCCTTAGGGCTTAAGGGCTTAAGAATCTTTTTATCTCCATGGGAGTTCATTTTTAATTTTAGAATGAAAGTCAGTGGGAAAATAGGGTTTGCATTACCCAGATTTATGTAGCTAGTATTGCTGGACTCTGTTCTGTAAATGAAAGGATACTTGTAATCTCAAAGTGTTGTATATATGTATTATGGTAAATATTATAGACATATGTTTTGTTTGGAACCTACATTTCATTGGTGAGGAGTTGCCTCTGTCAGTGTAATAAGTCATCTCCTGCACCTTGTGGCCTCGGGAGCAGCCCAGGAGCCCAGGAGCCTGTGACTGGCTCATCCTTACTCTGTATGTGTCACCAGAAGAACCTGAACCCCAGGTCTCCGACTCTTGGTCTGATTGAGATAGTACTGGGATTTGCAAGAAGACTTTCCGTGCATCATCTCATTTGAGCCTTGCAACATCCTTGTGAAGTCAGTGCTGCGATTAGCACCATTTGACATCTGAAGACTGCGGCTGTGTAGAAAGGTGTAGGACTTGGCCACGGTCCGACAGCCAGTGAGCCTCTGGGGTGGGATTCAGACCCATTTCTCCCTGACTTCCAAAGCCAGTGCTCTGTGTACTGTGTCAGGCTGGCTCTGTAGCTGATCCACTTTTTTGGCTTGCTTCTCCACCACATAATTTGCCAGTTCCAAGCCAGTGACCAAGCTCCTAGAGCTGGTTTTTATTTCACATTATCCCTTTGCTCTTTCTTCCAAATCCGCTCGTGGAGGTGCTAAAAACACTAAAGCGGGTCAGAGGTTGGCAGCAAGAAGGAAGAAGAATAACACTGGACAGTCAGCTTCTGAATGAGTTGATTGTAAATATTGAAAAATAAATGGCCTAGTTCTTTGAATTCTGAATTGAAGAAAAAGACTCGGTAAGCGTGTGGAGAGAAGTTGTTGATAGGTTTATTTTGGATTGGGTAGTGGGTGGCACGCTGGCAGCAATAATACAGGAGTACAGATGCCATTCTGTATCCTCATGTTGGGATAGAGCCGGTTCCCACCCCTGGCTAGGGTATGGCCCCTCTGCCCTGCCGTTGGTCGCTGCTGCCGCTGTGGCGGCTGTGGCGGCGCTCTCTGGCAATATCCGTGGCCTGACAGGTGGACGTTGCTCCCCCAGAGAATCTGTGAAAAGAAGTTTTGGTTCTCGCGTTGATTAGTGTAGCCCGAGCATTTGGTCCTGTATGGCTCTTCAGGGAGGTCAGCAGGAATAGTTACGTGCAGCAAACTGTTGTTTAACTTGGATGACTTAGCTACTAGTCACTTTCAAAGAAACATGTCATTCTCTAGGATTAGTCCTCTAATGCTGCACGTCCACAGTAGCTTTTTTTAATTTGTCGTTGTTTGGAGTGCCAATGATGGAATCTTTAAACGTGGGAAGTGTCCTTTAATAGATGAAGAATTTAGCCAAAGAAATAATACGATTCCCTAAGCCAGGGATGGGGAACCTGCAGCCTTGAGGCCACGTGTGGCCCTCTAGGTCCTCAAGTTCAGCCTTTTGACTGAGTCCAGGTTTTACAGAACAAATTGTTCTGCAAATTGAACCTGCAGGGGCTGCAGGTTCCCCACCCCTGCTGAGCATTCATGAGGGAGATGTTGGAGGTTCGTAGGACATGAATATCCCTCGTTTCTTTGCTGTGCTAGAGAGAGGAAGACAGGTACTTTAGTCACTCTCTTTTTTCTCTTTCTTGACCAGAGGGGATTTGATGGAGACCCTGAACTAGAGAGACTGGATTGTATTGGAGCTAATGACTAGAATGAGTTCTGAGATTGTAGTTATCCTGCCTTGTATGTAACAGAGGTTCTAGCAGAGCTGGCTGCATTTGGAAAACAATTTCCATCAAGGGAATCCTATTGTCTGTTGTCATTTTTTAAAAATTGGAGATGTGTTCTTATGGGGAAAAAGAGTCTTATTAAACTAAGGTGAAAAATTCTTAGGGAAAATTAGGTAGTATTTAGTCTGTTTATCAGTCAGTAAGCATTTATTAGACTCCTTCTGTGTGCAAGAAACAGACAAAACATAATCATCCCTATCCTCAAGAGGCTTACTTCCTGTTGAGTCCTACGTTGTCTATTCTTTCACCTTTTCAAGTGGTTCTGGTCCTCCTATGTTTTAGTAAAAATAATCATCTTTCTCAGGGGAAAGAATATAAGCTAGTACCGTGACCCACCGTGAATGAGCAAATATGGTTTGTAACCATGTT